GATTGCTGCAACAGCAGAAGAGAGCTGGAGGGTTGCATGGTGGCTCCAATATGCTTTTGCCTAGAAGCATAGAAGCATCCTTCTGCTCACAGCCCATTGGTTGGAGCTAGGCATATGGCCCTACCTAATTGTAAGAATTGGGGGGTGGGGTGGGGAATGAATATTTCATGAGCTGGAAATGTCTCAGCCACAGATGGTAATAAGTGCTAAGACAAAAACCAAGCAGAGAAGGGTGACAGATACGAGTGCTGTTTTAAAAAGGGTGGTCACGTACAGTCACTATGAGAAAGTTAACATTTAAGGAGAGTCATAAAGTAAAGAAATGGGGAGAAAGTGTTCTTTGCCTGAGGTAATGAAGAAATGAGGGCAGACAGAATGGAAACCACAATTACAGAAAACTAACCTAGCTGATCCCTTAATGAAACTATGAGCCATGCCGTGTAGGGCCACTCAAAACAGACGGGTTATGGTGGAGAGTTCTGACAAAATGTGGTCCAGTGGAGAAGGGGATGGCAAAAAACCACTTCAGTATTCTTGCCTTGAGAACCCCATGAACAATATGAAAAAGCAAAAAGATATGACACTGAAAGGTCCGTAGGTGCCCAATATACTACTGGAGAAGAGTGGAGAAATAACTCCAGCATTGGGAGAGACCTTGTTTCTGGGAAGGACTGAAGGCAGGAGGAGAAAGGGATGGCAGAGAATGAAATGGTTGGATGGCATCACCAACTAGACAGACATGAGTTTGAGCAAGCTCCCAGAGTTGGTGATGGACGGGGAAGGCTGGTGTGCTGTAGTCCATGGGGTCTCAAAGAGTTGGACACGACTGAGTGACTGAACTGAATGAAGAAATACCAGAGAAGCCTGGTGGCTGGAGCAAAGTAAGTGAGGGAGATGACAGGAAATAAAGGGCTATTTCATGGAGGGGTCTATAGGCAAGAACTTTGGGCTTTATTCTGAATTGAGAAAACTGGATTTAAGTTTTGAAAACTCATACTGGGGATAGTGTAGAAAAAAGACTGTAGGATGGAAGTCAGGAAACGGAAAGGTATAGCAGTCGTCCATGTGAGAAATCATGGGGCTTGGCTAGGTGGGGCTGCGACATTCTCCTGTATGATTTTCACCCTCTCCTGAAACCAACAGCATCTCCCCCCCACTCAGATTTTTTTTTTTTAAATTAAACTTTGAATAACTGGAGAAAAAATTCCACATGCTTCAAACTAGTCTACCAGGCTAACCATGTCTGTCTGCTCACCATCCCTTGTTTACCCGTCTACAGATGACCGACTCCTTCTTGAGGAGTTTCTACGGTTGTCACTCCTGCACCAGTCTTTCCTTATCACTGGGCTGTTTCTATTAGCATATAAACATTTAAACAGAAAAACCTTAACGTTCACATCCTTTGCCTGCTGTTGTGCCATTCCCCTGCTCCTCTTTACAACAGAAAATAGCTACTTGCTGTCACCATTTACTATCTCAAAAATCAAATTTGAAAAAAATCAAGCTTGTATCCCTATCACTTTTTTAAAAAAAGTTAATTTATTTTAATTGGCGGCTAATTACTGTAGTGGTTTTTGACATACAGTGACATGAATCAGCCATGGGTGTACATGTGTCCCTCATCTTTTTTGTGTGTGTGTGTCCCTCATCTTGAACCCCCCCTTCCACCTTCCTCCCCATCCCATCCTCAGGGTTGTCCCAGCCTGGCACTGTCTTAAATGCTCTGTTCTTAAGCTCTCAACAGACTATAGTACTGCCAAACCCAAAGGTCAGTTTTCACTGTACTCAGCTTCTCAGGACCAATGACACAGCTGAAGCATTTTCCTCCTTCAGGCTTTAGGATTCCTCTCTCTTGTTTCTCCTCTTACCTCTGGCTGCTCCTAAGTTTCCTTTGCTGATCTTCTAATTTCTAAAGTGCCATGTGACTAGCCTTTGGATTTCTCTTTTGCCAGAAATTATGTAATTAATGTCCTTGGTCAGCAACTTTCAGTGATTTTCAAACTGTAGGACACAACAAGTACTCAGTTAAAAAATCAATTGAGTTGGGAGCAGAAGTTTAAAAAAACAAAAATACCCAACAAGATAAAAGATAAAAGGAGGGTAAATTTGCTTCTCGAAACTTTTAATTTATACACATGTATTTGGTCAGTATGGAAAATATATTTTGTATTCTGGATTGAGGTCAGAAGTTATCAAAGTTAGTGTTCTGTGTGATCTCATTCAATCCTGTGGCTTTCTTTAATACACTGACCAATCAATTTTTATCTCTGTGTATCTCCCCAGAATTACACTATCGTATAATCCATTGCTAACTGTACAGCTCCATTTCAGTGTCTATTAGGCATGTAGAGTTTAACTGTTCAGAATCAAATTATTGATTTCCCCCCAAAACTGCACATATCCCTTCTTCTCTATCTAAATGACAGTTCTCTTCCTTTGGATGTACAGGTCTGAAACCTTCCAGTCATCTTCACTCTGTTGTTTCACATCCACCTCTAATCAATCTGAAAATCCCATTTACTCTATATTTGAAATATACCAAACAACATGTGAAAGAAAATTTTCACCAGTGTACTACAGGAAGTTCAAAATCAAGAAAGAACAGGCAAATAGCATGATGAAGCCATGCACTTTTTAATTATTAATAAAAAGACACTTAAAATCAGGAAACATAAATACAAGGGCTGGTGCTACCACTTCATAGCCTTGCAGCACCTTAGCAGGTTACTGTTCACTGTTTGAAAGTCCCCCATTATTCCTTTATAGTCATCATTCTGGGTACACTGTATAGCCACTGTGTTAGATGAAATGCCACTATAGAGTTCTACTCAATTGCAGTATATCTTATATCTTGTTTGCAGTGAAACATTAAAAAACTAGAAATCGTTACATGCGTTTAACCATTTGGTGGATGGTCAGGTTTGACTGGCTCTTAGGGTAACATTGGTCACCTGGCTCAGGACTGACCCTTTGCCCACAACTCTAGGAAAAAGTAGGTGATGCCCCTCTGTGGGTTTAGGCAATGGAAAGGTAGTATATTATGAGTCCCCATCACCACAGACAGACGTGGAACTGTACTCCCCTTGGAGTGAGCCCCCAGTCACCCATACTTCCCTTACCAGCAAACTCCCATTCTAGGTGCCAAGACTTCTTTCCAGTTGTGCTTATAATTTCCTTGCTGGCAATCTTGTCCTAAACCCCAGTCCCTGCATGCTGAGTCGCTTGTCTTGTCTGCCTCTTTGTGACCCCATGGACTATATAGCATGCCAGGCTCCTTGGCCCATGGGATTATCCTGGCAAAAAGACTACAGTGGGTTGCCATTTCCTCCTCCAGAGTTATCTTACCAATCCAGAGATCAAATCCATGTCTCTGCATTGACAGGAGGATGCTTTACCACTGAGCCACCTGGGAAGCCCCCAACTCCAGTCCATGTGGCAAGAATCCAGACCTACGACCTGGATATATTCAAGTTGTCAGCTTCCATTCCCTTGGGACTCTGATCTATCCTACTAGCCTCTTGCCAAAGGCCTATAATATGATTAGCATTTAATGGGCACTGTATGTGCTGGGCACTTTAAAGTGGTGTGCCAGCATTATTTTATTTCATCTTTATTCAATAGGTATTTTCTTAGAGAGATGGAGAAAGGGGCTCAAATGTTAAATTGTCTACACAGTAATGGGTGAGCCAGGACTTTCCTTAGCATTTCCTCTATGAGTACCGCCTGACTCACAGACCCTTTTGGATCTACAAAGGTTCTTTGCCACTTCCTACAGAAGAATGGCAGGATTCCATGGCCATAGATCAGACAACTTTCTTTGCTTCCCAGGTATGGTCTAGGCATAAGGTATACCAATGGAAGATATTTTTCCTTCTTTCATGCTACATCTGCTGCCAGAGGCAGTGGAAATCAGCCAAGTTGTGGCACGTTGCCTTGTAACCTATTTTCCATAGTACAGGATGAACATGCAGATGATTCATCACTATATTTTGTACTCTCTGTAGTGTTGCATTCTAGGCGTGTTATAGAAATGAAGATGGTATTTGACCTTGTCCTATTGTCCCTGGTGGTTCAGATAGTAAAGAATTTGCCTGCAATGCAGTAGACATGGGTTCCATCCCTGGACTAGGAAGATGCCCTGGAGGAGGGCATGGTAACCCACTCAAATATTTGTGCCTGGAGAATCCCCATGGACAGAGGAGCCTGGTGGGCTACAGTTCATGGGGTCACAGAGTTGGACACGACTGAGCCACTTAAGCACACGGGGTAAATATTGACCTAGAGAATATTTTTGAGTCCACCGTTTTGACCCTGTCAATTTGCTCATAGATAGCTAAGTATGCAAAGTGATCGGAAATAAATGGAGGAACATGATTATTCCATAGTTCACACCTTGACAACAGAACGACTCTGGAATATTTAGGGGTATTTGCTCACATTTTACCCATGAATTCAGTAAGATAATATAAACTATGTCTTTGACCCAGTTTATAGTGAATATTATGGGAGAACCTGTCAGTGGCTGAATCTATGCTTCTGCAAAGTTTGATCTAGGAAAAACTACACTTGGTAGAAGTAGTCACTACAATCAGAGTGACTTAGCTATAATGAGGAAAGTCTAATGTGGACAAAAGCTCAACGCCAAGTCAAATACTTACTCAAATATGTTTGTGCTTACATATACAAACACTAATCATGGAAAAATTGATAATATAAAATATAATTTAAAAATAGTAAGTCCCATAAGCCATCCTCACACATCCTTTCTATGGCGGGGGAGATGGTTGGCTGAGGACCATCATTCCACAGTAGGGAGCAAAGCCAAACAATTGTTCGTTAATGAAGCTCAAATCATCATTACTTATTCCTCTGCTCTCCGTTTGTTCGCTAGCTTTGGGTAGGTGAGGCAGTGTCTTCCATTTTCTCTCCAAGTTCAACATCTTAAAGCCGGGCGGAATTCCCTTCCCCATCCAAGACAGGAATAATACAGGCAGTCAGCCCTAGAGGTCACCAAACGATGAAGCCGGGTGGTGGGAGACTTTCCTTTTCCTATCCGAGTCGATCAGGGGGCGTCGTTTGTCGACTCTGTACAGACGCAGGTGAGGGGGGAGCGCTGAGGAACCGTGTCGTCGCCGCAGTCGCCCGCCCCCAGAGCGCCGTCGTCGCTGGGCAACGCCTCCGCCCCACCCCGGGCGAGCACGTGACGTATGCATCACGTGACGGGCCAGTCGGCGTCCTCCTGCGGAGGGGTGTAAACAGGCGCTGCGCTGGCCGAGCTGCAGCGTCTGCTGCGTCCGCGTCTCCGGCATGCTCCAGGCCGGCGGGGGCGGCCCTGCCGCGAGCTCAGCGCCCACTTGAGGTAATTCCTGCGGCCTTCAGGCCAGCGTACCCCGCGCCGCGCGCAGCAGCCGGTGCCAGGCGCCGTCGAGGCCAGCCGAACCCCTGGCCCTAGCAGGGGGTGTGGCTGCCGACCGTGCGGTCCGCGACAGGTGGGCGGGTCGGGGGCGGCCGTTGAGGTCGGCGCTCCGTACCACCCTGGGCCAGGGCCCGGCGCGGAGCCGGTCGAAAGTAGGCAGGGACCCCGGGATGTGGGCTCTTCCGCCCAGGCTCTCTAGCGCCCTTGGATCCGGCCAAGCTGGGGGCCTCAGGAGCCATCGGGAGCTGAGGGCCTGGGGCTGCCAACGTGGAGTCCCCCGACGGACTGTGAGACCTTGGGCAAGTCAGCCCTCCCCTCGGCCTGAGTTCCCACATCTGTAAAATGCAAGTCTGGACTAGATGATTTGTGAGGACCTTCCGTTTCTGACGTGTGTGATCTCGGGAGAGACCTGCATACATTGGCAGCTGCCAGAGAGAAAGGATAGGTAGATAGTTTGTCCTTTAATTTCTGAATTTCTGTTTGACTTTCAGTTTTTCATCCGACACGATTTGGATTGTTTTTCACTAGGGTGAAGTTTTTAATAGAAAACTTAGAGAAAGTCATAGTGGTGTATGTTACTTACCCGCCCCCGGCAACGGAACCTTCTTTCTTAAAATCTTGTTTGGGACCCTGATACGTCAAAAGCAAAATCTTTTTCTGCCTACTGCCTTCCTTCCCCTTCCCCGGTTCCCACTACCCCTGAGGCCCCCAGAGATCCCAGGTTGAGAAGTGCTGTTATAGAGCGACTGTTTTATGTATTTGTTAATATGATGGGATCCGGAAGATGACTGTAATGAGTATATGAAGTTTTCTATTTTTTCCTTTGATTTTGTCCAACTCTATGTCTTGTAGTATGTTCCGCATATATAGTGGAAGAAGGCCCCAGATTTCCTAGAAAGACCTTTCTCTTTCCATCTTTTGTTGCATCCCCGTCCTGGGAAAGGAAGCGTGTTGTGATAGTGAGACCTCATGCCTTTTTGCTGGTTTAGCTGCTTGGACACAGAATGGGAATGGAGGACTTTGCGAGACTTTTGAGACCAACTGAATGCACTGGGATATTTCCTCTGAAAAATAGGAAAGTTGGGAGAGTATAGGAACTAAAATCGTTAGAGCCATGGACTAATGTGAACACATTCCAAATTTGGAACCCTGGGGCAAGAGACTTTTGGATTGTGAGAGAATTATGTTTGGGACAAAAGAAGATCCTGTTTCATGTAGTGCGTGAACATAAACAGAATCTGAGGTGATGGTGTGTAGGCAGAAAGATTGCCAGGAGGATTTTTTTTTAAAGCTAAGAGAAATAGTTTCCTATTATTTTGTTGTTGTTGTGTTGTTTGTCCATTCTTTTTTTTTTTTTAATTTTTATTTACTTTTGACTGTGCCTAGTCTTCATTGCTGCAAGTGGACTCCCTCTTGGACGGGGCACTGTTGTCTAGTTGCAGTATGGGAACTTCTCGTTGTAGTGACTTCTCTTGTGGAGCCCAGGTTTTGGGGAGCATGGGCTTCAGTAGGGCTTCAGTAGTTGCAGCGCGTGGGCTCGATAGTTGCAGCCCCGGAGCTCTAGAGCAGAGGCTCAATAGTTGTGGCGCCCTGGCTTCGTTGCTCTGTGTGGTATGTGGGATCTTCCCGGACCAGGGATCAAACCTGTGTCTCCTGCATTGGCAGGCAGATTCTTTACCACTGAGCCACCAGGGAAGCCCTCCTAATTTGTTTTTGAAGACTAAAGTTCGTAAGTGTATTAAAATTCACAGTTTATTATTAAAAGTGGAAGACCATAGTTGCAAGCTTGTCTGCTTGGTGCTTCAGTGAGGTGTATGAAAATTGGCGGTCTAGTGGACTATAAGTGGAACCCAAGGTGACCCTTATAGGTTTGTGTTTTCTTTTTTCAAAGCAGACTCACTTCCTTGATCTTTGGCTTAAGTTTAGGCAAGTCACTTCCCTTCTTGGGGTCATAGTTTCTGCTACTCAGTGAGGAAATTAGACTGATTTTGGCTTCCCTCAGGGTTGCCAGATAAAATACAGGACACCCAGTTAAATTTGAATTTCACTAAACAATGGGTAAGTTTTTAGTATAAGTATTGCATAGAGCTTGCTTTACTAAAAATTCATTGTTTATCTAAAACTTAACTTGGGTCTACTGTATTTTTATTTGTTAAATCTGACAACCTTAGCTCCAGCATTTTTGTCTTCTTTAAATTAGTTCCAGGAAGATTTTATAGGTGCATAGACAGGGGTGAATTGATTCAAGCAGTCAAGACCCCTTGTTTGTTATATGTAGCACTGTCTAGTTCTTGAAGAATTGCTCTGTTTCTAATTGGCTCCCCCTACCCATCCCCCCCCATGTAGCAGTTCCCTTTCTGCTATAATCACATACTATTTAGGTTTATGTTCTTGGTTGTAAACAATTTAAATAACTGAAAGAAAAAAAGTTGCCAGAATTTCTAAAAGCAACAATATTGGGTCACGAAATGATATATACTGTTTTTTCCCTAGAAAAAGTGCTTTACAATCCCACTTATTCTCCAGTTATCTGACTGACTTGAAGACATTTTTTCAAAGCAGTGGACTGCTCCAGTAGTAAATAATCCTTCAGGAAGTCCTTAGGCCTTTTGCTTTGGCCGCCTGTGAGTATGGAAGTGACCAGTATAGGGCACTGTAGACATTTGTTTTAACTGTTTATCAGTTCTGTGTTGTTTTGAAGATTTTCAATGTTGAAATTCTTTTTTAAGGAGTCTAATTTTTAACTCTTCATTTTTGAGGATTGAAAAAAAAAACCCAACTAGGCCTGATCTAGTTTCTCTGCTTAACTCATTCTGAAATTCCTGAAGTTTCTAATTCATATTTAATAGCCAATAACAGCAAAAGCATGGGTGCTGCCTTTGAGCCAGGCTGATGTGGTCAGGGTTCTAGTTCTTCAGGTGCTTAATCTGATAGAGGAGTTTAATCATGTGCAATCCAGGGATACTGTGATGAGGACCTTGAAGTGATACAAATGTTGTGGAAATTGAGAGGAGGATCCTTACCCAACAGGTTAGATTGAATGGCAGAACTTCCCAGAGGAGGTGGTATTTAATCCGAGTCTTGGAGGTTGAGGTGGAGTCAGGAAGACAGGCTTACAGAAGGGTGGGAAGATGCTGGAAAGTGCAGGGGAATCCTTTTCAGTTCTACAAAGCATACACTTTGTTGAATTGAAAATAGTTGATAATTTTGTTTACATGTAGTTTTTGATTCACTGTGATACTTGTTATCTGCATTAAGTTTATTAGCATGGCACTGCTTCAGTGTGTATCTCTATTACAAAGACTTTCAGATGTCAGTGTAGCTCTTTGGAAGAATGTTTATGAAATATGTCACTCATGAAACCGTATGAATGAGGAACTCACAATGAGTTTTGAAATTTTATTTTAAATGAAGACATGTTTCAGAAAATTTTAAGGATTTTCTCTATATTTTTCTTACTTTTTAAAAAATGCAAAAGATTTATATTTATTAACATTAAAAGATACCTGAAAAAAAAAAACCTGAGATATTGTTGTATGAAAAATGTAGACCATAGAAGTTTTCTTGTATGTTTTCTTTTTGAAAGTTTTATGGTTTATGGTTTTAGGTCATATATTCATATATTTAAATTTCTGATCTATTTAGGGGGGCTGATGGAGGTGTGAGGTGTGGGTTTGGGTTCATTATTTCCCTTTATGGATACACAGTTGTTTTTTTATTATTTGTGGAAAAGATTATCCTTTCGCTGTTGAATTTCTCCATCCTTTGCCCACTGAATTTAATTTCTGTTGGAAATTAGCTGACAATACATGTGTGTGGTTTGTTTCTGGACCCTGTCTCGTCTTGATTTGTTATGTCCTTATGTCAGTACCATACTGTCTGCCTTACTGTGGCTTTATGTATGGTTTGAAATTGGTCAGTATAAATCCTCCAGCTTTGTTCATTATTTTCAAAACTGTTTCAGGTATTTTAGGTTTTATGTATTTTCATAAATATTTTAAAATTGGCTTGTTAGTTTCAAAAACTTCTTGGAATTTCTGGATCAATTTGTAGAAAATTGCTATCTTAATAGTGAATTTCCCTATCTGTCATTTATTTAATTCTTTAATATTTTGCAACATGTTTTTAGTTTTTAGTGTATGCAGGTCCTATACATATTTTGTCAAATTTATATCTTCAATATTTTATGGTTTTTTATGTCATTATAAATGAATTTAAAACGTAATTGTCCACTTTTTCATTGCTAATATGTAAAAATGTAAAAATGCATTGGTTTTGTATATTCCCTCTGTATCTCACAGCATTTCTAAATTCACTTATTATTCATGGTAGTCTTTAGGTCTGTTTTTCAGGATTTTCTATGTATATAATCATTGAATAAAGACAGTTTTACTAATTCATTTCTACTCATTACTTCTTGCCTTCCCTCCTGCCTTTCTCTTTTTTTCTTTTTTGCCTGAGTGGCTAAACCTGGCTAGGACCTCAAGTCCAATATGATGCTAGAAGTGGTAAGCAGACATCCATATTTTGTTTCCAGTCTGAGGAGTAAACATTCAGTCATATACATGATACAAAATAAAGCACTGACTATAAAATTTTTTAATGTTAAATTAGGCTTAATAAAAATTAAAAGCTTCTTTACTTTAAAATTTAAATTTTCTGTACTGTTTTAGGGCTTCCCAGGTGGCACAGTGATAAAGCATCTGCTTGCCAGTGCAGGAGATGCAGGAGGCGATGATTCAATCCCTGGGTCAGGAAGATCCCCTGGGGGAGGAAATGGCAACCCACTCCAGTATTCTTGCCTGGAGAATCCCATGGACAGAGGAGCCTTGTGGGCTACAGTCCATGGGGTCGTAAAGAGTCGGACACTACTGAGTGACTGAGCATGTACAC